TTTCGGTTGGCGTGATGTTCTCGCTTCGCGAAAACACACGAAAGATAACTCGCAAACTGTCATAAGCAGGCCTACGTGGTCGGGATTGCAGCCGACCCGTTAGAGTGGCGCTCTGGACCGATTGAAATCTCACTTCACTACCAACGAGCAGGAATGCCTTCTACTCAGCATACCATCCCGTCAGGGAGGTGATTCAGCCCAGAGGCTCAGGCCATGAAATGAAAACGTTGAGGCCGGCGATTTAGTACAGCCGATCGCGACGCCCTGTACGGTGGTTGTAGACTTCGTGTCGCCATCCCTGGAGGTACCACTGCACGTGCGATGTATCCAGGCTTGTGAAGCCGTGAGGGTTGTCGTGACTGGGGATCATGTTGATGACGTGCTCTGGGATATAGACCTCCTCAGTCATGCAAGCGAACACTGCCCACTGATACTGATCCACCCTGTTCCAGCCCAGTCGTCTGGCGTAGTTGGGGTCGATCATGTTTCCGAACTCATCATAGCCGAGACTGAAGTTCGAGTAGAGGAACCCGGCCGTCTCCAGCTGTTCGAAAAAGTCCACCACCGTTTGGCGGGCGCGCCTTTCGCGGTCTGAGATTCGGACCGTGTCGCTAAAGTACCCGAAAGTAACCGGGTCGTTGGGGCGACGGCGGTAGCGCTCAGCCCACTGTGCAGGGCGAGTGAAATCGATCACAGAGCTAATCTCGGAGGCGACGCTTCCAGTGTCATTGGCAGCTGAAGCATCCGTTTCCGGAGCTGTGAATGGTCTCCCAGAGCGCATGGCGGCCCAATCGGCATCGCTGATATAGCTGTTGGGATCACGCTGAGCCCGACGAGGAGGAGGATTCTCTGGAGGTGTTGGCCCCGAGGAAGAAGCAGCCGTGCGGCTGTCATCAGGCCTGTCCCCTAGGAAGGCGGCTCCACTGGTCCGAATGTGCGTCTCAGTGGGACGGTTTCGCCCGATGGGGGAGCGAGTACGATTCCTCTCCGTGCCTGTCCTTGGGCTGGCACGCTCGTCAGAGCTGCGTCCACG